GCCTGTAATCCCAGCTACTCAGGAGGTTGAGGCAGGAGAATTGCCTGAACCCAGGAGGCAGAGGTTGCGGTGAGCCGAGATTGCGCCATTGCACTTGAGCCTGGGTAAAAAGAGCAAAACTCCGTCTCAAAAAAAAAAAAAAAGAATAGAAACTTGGACATGACACTGCTGCAAAAATATAATTGGTGTGGATTATCTTATAAAGCTGAAGATAAGCATGCCCTAGGACTCAGAAATTACACTTCTATGAGAATATGTGATGAGAATCTTTTCACGTACACCTTGGAAGACAACATTAGCAGTAGTAACATAGCAAAACAGAGACTTCCAGAAGCAGACAGGAGCAAACATATCTACACTCTGGCACCCTCTGACTTTCCAGAATTCTATTAGAGCAGAGTAAGTGCCAGTTCTCTGCAGACCCCGGATTAGGCCCTGTGGCTGCAGTGAAAAGAGGCCCAGGAGAAAACCCAGGAATAAAAATGGAGTCAGGCTTCAGACTGAAATCACCAAAAATGTCATGGAAGTAATAAAACTGAGAAACCCGAAACATCCTCAGGCCAGTTAATTAAAATTTAGAGTGCCCAGGAGATCCAGGTTTCTAAAAGAATAGGAAATTCTTAAATATAAGAGTTGTGGAACAAGAATCATGAATGGTGTAAAGTAATTGCCCAGCATCTCAAACAGAAGGGCATAAGGAGAGCAGGCAACAATGTGTTCAGAGGACTACAGGATTGCAGGACTTGAACTACTCATGAGGTGAACCACAGGTTGAGATAACCCTTGCCTTGTCCCTATAGAGAACCTGCACAGGATTCTGGGATACAGATGAAGAATGACATCTTTGCAGGTCCTCTCAGTGCAGAATGTAGTCATTCTTCCAACCTCTTTTTTCGTGTGTGTGATGAAGTCTAACTTTGTAGACCAGGCTGGAGTGCAGCGGCATGATCTCGGGTCACTGCAACCTCTGCCTCCCAGGTTCAAGTGACTCTACTGCCTCAGCCTCCCAAGTAGCTGGGATTACAGGTTGCCTACAACCATGCCCAGGTAATTTTTGTATTTTTAGTAGAGACGGGTTTTTTTTTTTTTTTTTTTAAGAGACAGGGTTTCACTATGTTGGCCAGGGTAGGCTCAAATTCCAGACCTCGTGATCTGCCCGCCTCGGCCTCCCAAAGTGCTGAGATTACAGGTGTAAGCCACTGCGCCCAGCCTTATTTTTAAATTACACAATCATTCAGCATTATTTCACTTAATAATGTACATGTATCACCAAGATTAAGATGTTTTTAACACCTTAAAGAAAGTGAATCAACAGGTTAAAAAAAGTGAATCAACAGCTTTTACCAAATGTAAACAACTTATTACTATTCCTGCTCAGAATAAAACTTAAAAAGGAATCAGTCAATGCCAAAATAATTGTTTAAGGTTGCTGGGGAAAAGGATTCACACAGTCTCAAAATATTAACCCAAGCCAGGTATGGTGGCCCACACTTGTAATCTCAACACTTTGGGAAGCCAAGGCATGCAGTTCACTTGAGGGCAGGAGTTCGAGACAAGTCTGGCCAACATGGAGAAACCCCGTCTCTACAAAAAATACAAAAATAAGCCAGGTGTCATGGCACATGTCTGTAATCCCAGCTACTCGGGAGGTTGAGGCATGAGAATTGCTTGAATACAGGAGGCAGAGTTTGTGGTGGGCAGAGATCACACCACTACACTTAGCCTATGTGACAGAGCAAATCTGTCTCAAAAATACATGAAATATTTCACTCGATCATGGACAAAAACTAATACTAGTAATGTTATGGTCATTATTGGGAAAATTAAATATGAACTACATGTGCATTAGTTAACAATATTATATCAATTTCATATTTTTTGTGTGTTTTAGAAATTCTCTTGCTTGAGCTGGAGTGCAATTGCAAGATCATAGCTCACTGCAGCCTTGAACTCCCAGACTCAAGCAATTCTCCTACCTCAGATTCTAGAACAACTGGGACTATAGGCAGGCACCAGCACACTCGTCTTTTATTATTATTATTTTTTAAAAGGAGTCTCACTTTGTCGCCCAGGGTGGAGTGCAGTGGCATGACCTCAGCTCACTGCAGCCTCCATCTCCCAGGTTCAAGGGATTCTCCTGCGTGAGCCTCCCCAGTAGCTGGGATTACAGGTGCACGCCACCACACCTGGCTAATTTTTGTATTTTTACTAGAGATGGAGGTCTCACCATGTTGGTCAGGCTGGTCTTGAACTCCTGACCATAAATGATCCACCCACCTCAACCTCCCAAAGTGCTGGGATTATAGGCATGAGCCACCACAACCGGCCCTATTATTTTTTAATTTTTTGTAAAGATGTGTGTCAATACATTGCCCAGGCTGGCCTCGAACTCCTAGCTTACAGAGATCCTCCTGCCTGGGCCTCGCAAAGGACTGGGATTACAACTACAGGCAAAAGCCACTACGCCCAGCCAAATTTCAAGTGACAGTGGCATTGTGATTATGTCAGAGAACGTCCTTGCTCTTAGGAAATACATGAAGGATTCACAGGTGAAATGTTATGTCAAAATTTACTCTCAAATTATCCAAGAACAAAATATGTGTGGTACACATGTGTACACAAAGTATCTAAACATGTTCACTGATAAATCTAGGAAAAGAACACAAGTGTGTTCACTGTACTACCTTCACCTTTGCTGAAGGATTAAAATTTTTTAAAATAAAAAGCAATCACTGAAAATCTTTCTGCTTAAGTTTGAAATATATAACAATAAAAGAACTTTTCATGAAAAATAAACAGTTTAACTTACAGCTAAGAGTTGTCTTATAAGCATGTCTGAGGCTTTCTCAGAAATGTTACCAACAAAAACAGTAGTAGTAGGACCACAATTTTCATCATTTTCTTTAGTCTTTAAGCCTGGATGATCCTTTCTTGCGCCCAAATGCTTTCCAACCATAGACACAGTGGGTACTAGGACCTGAAAAGGGAATAAAAATTGATCTAGCAATTAAATTTCCTACCACAGTTAACATTAGGCTAAAAACCTCAGGATTAAATAAATATATATATAGCACATTATTTAAGCTCTGCATGCTTGCATACTTAATCTAAAACACCTAAAATGCATAGTACATTTCATTAATGCAAACATATTTGTGACAAGTATACTTCTACTACATTACCTTTCTTCATACAAAAGAAACAAAAATAACCAAGAAAACTTTAAGAGGTAATTTTTATTTTCGTTTTTTATTTTTTGAAATACAGTCTTCCACCTCCCGGGTTCACTCAGCCTCCCAAGTAGCTGGGATTATAAGTGTGTGCCACCACGCCAGGCTTATTTTTTGTATTTTCAGTAGAGACCGTGCTGGGCCTATGTCTTAAACATTTAAAAATTATGCCCTAGGCCTAGCGTGGTGGCTCACGCCTGTAATCCCAACACTTTGGGAGGCCGAAGTGGGCAGATCATCTGAGGCTGGGGGTTCAAGACCAGTTTGGCCAACGTGGTGAAACCCTGTCTCTACTAAAAATACAAATTATCAGGCTGGTGTGGTGGCATGTGCCTGTAACCCCAGCTACTCAGGAGGCTGAGGCAGGGGAATCGTTTGAACCTGGGAGATGGAGGCTGCAGTGAGCCATGCTATTGTACTCTAGCCTGGGAAACGAGAGAAACTCCATGCCCCCCCACCAAAAAAAGACAAAACATTTAAAATTATCAAATATATCCAGAAGTTTTTTCACAATTGTACTCAATACCAATATAACAGCAAATTTCAATTATCCATGCTAATTCTCTGGCAAAATATTCAAATATCCCATAGCACTCTCCCCATATTTTGCCTCTTATCAGTTATTTCTGCTATCTTATTTTCCCTTTATGACTTCCAACTTTTCCAGGGAAGAAACACGTCTTTGTATGTGACACTGAACTCAGCAAAAACCCTCAGTAGGCAATGAATAAATAGCAGTAAACAAGAGAACTGCTCCACCCCTAAATTCTAGCTTTCCCGGCCGGGTGCGGTGGCTCAAGCCTGTAATCCCAGCACTTTGGGAGGCCGAGGCGGGTGGATCACAAGGTCAAGAGATCTAGACCATCCTGGTCAACATGGTGAAACCCCGTCTCTACTAAATATACAAAACATTAGCCTGGCATGGCGGCGCATGCCTGTAATCCCAACTATTGAGGAGGTTGAGGCAGGAGAATTGCCTGAACCCAGGAGGCAGAGGTTGCGGTGAGCCGAGATCACGCCATTGCACTCCAGCCTGGGTAACAAGAGTGAAACTCCGTCTCAAAAAAAAAAAGGAAAAAAAAAAAAAAATTCTAGCTTTCCCTAAGCCTGAAATACAAGGATCATTCCTATGTTCTTTAAAGAGATCAGACATGTCACATCCTTCTCCTACCTCCCAGGACCAAGGTGAGAAAGCCAAAGTCCTAAATCTGTAATAACAAGTATATGAAGAGTCTTGAGAGCAACAGGAAAATCACAGAATTATCCACCTAGGGAGCACACTGTAGGGGCAACTATATATATGCACACCTAAGTGAAAATAACACTTACTCAAATAAATGACATATGCTGTATGCTCTCATTCTGTCCTTGTTAGTCTTTTAAATACTCGTAATTTAACTAAGCACGCTGTTTAAACTTAAAAGCACTAGCACTACCATAACTCATGATTCCTCCTTTAAGTTGTACTTACAGTTGGAGCAGGAGCCATAATGCTCATTGGTACAGGAATCATTGGGGTCCCTAAGACAAGAAAAACCACACTGATTATGTATGACTACATTCTGTATCAACTACATGCCAAACAAGTATCTTTACTCATAATTAACCTAAGTAGAAATACAGGACAAATGAAAATGAAATACTGATACCGTCTTATTTTCAAAAGGAATGTGGTATCAGGTCGGTCCATATAAACTTGCAAAAAAACACTATTTGGAAAACAAAATGCTACCTCAACATGCTTTTGACTTAAGGAGCATAAAATTATGGATATTTATTCAGGTTCATATGGTTCAGTGATCCTCAAAACCAACATCTTTCACAAATACAGACTGATTTATGGGTGAACAATGGTATTAAAGATGCTTTAAAAGTAAAAACAGCCAGGCACAGTGGCTCACACCTATAATCCCAGCTTTTAGGGAGGCAGAGGTGAGAAGCTAGATTGAGCCCAGGAGATTGAGACCTGCATGGACAATAAATAGTAAGACCCCGTTCTCCAAAAAATGGGGGGAAAAAAAAAAAAAGACTACAAAAAAGTAAAAACACATTGTACAACATTGTGATACAGTCAGTGGCAATGCATATTCTTAAAAATTGCTAAGAGAAGGCCAGGCGCGGTGGCTCAAGCCTGTAATCCCAGCACTTTGGGAGGCCGAGGCGGGTGGATCACAAGGTCAAGAGATCGAGACCATCCTGGTCAATATGGTGAAACCCCGTCTCTACCAAAAATACAAAAAATTAGCTGGGCATGGTGGCGCATGCCTGTAATCCCAGCTACTCAGGAGGCTGAGGCAGGAGAATTGCCTGAACCCGGGAGGCGGAGGT